CTGCGGGTTCCCTCATAACAAATATTATGTTTAGCAGGAAGGACAATATGTTCTTACGAACTCAAATGACCGGACAATCAGGATCTACGAGAATCTTTTGCCCCTGAAAGATGTTTTTAAAGCCCTTGATGAATTAAGCAATATCCCAGATGAGTTAGATGAGGTTGAGAAGTTGAAAGCTGTTGGAGCAACGTGCCTAGCATTATTCAGGGAGTTCCAAGATTCCATCACCAAAATACATTGGAAAGTGTAGAGACATGGAACAACTGTATAGCTCTTATTCATTTTTTCTATGAAATACAAGTCCATATATATAGACTATCATACAGAGTTTATTCTAGACAATCCCTTTTCTTTACAACTCATGCCACATGCACTCTTGCTTTACAATTCATGCCACATGCACACTTGCTTTACAACTCATGCCAACAGAAAGCACCGTGTTTTAGTGGTGATGGTGAGTGGGTTGTTGGTGGTTCTGCTAATAAAGGAGAGCACAAGATCCACATATGGGATAGGACTGGGCGTCTTGTAAAAATCCTCGAAGCTCCAAAGGAAGCGTTGATAGATTTAGCATGGCATCCTGTTCACTCTTTTGTTGTCTCTGTGTCGCTAACAGGCTTGGTTTATATTTGGGCTAAAGATTATATTGAGAACTGGAGTGCATTTGCTACGGATTTCAAGGAGCTTGAGGGAAATGAGGAGTATGTAGAACGAGAAGACGAATTCGATCTGATGCTGGTAACTGAAAAGGTGGGAGAGGAAAGCCTTAGTTGGGTAACATTTCCTTTATTTTATGTTTTTGCTTCTATAATGTGTGCATACTTGCAAGTGAAAGAATCAGATGTTGATGAGGACAATGAAGTTGATATTATGACAGTGGAGAAGGATTCGGTTTTCAGTGATTCAGATATGTCACAGGAAGAAATATGCTTTCCAGCTGCCAATCTTTGTCATGATGTTCCTATGCAGCAAGACAAGTGCATAGAAAGTTCTTCAAAGCTGGTGAACAGCAACCATTCTGGATCCCCCCTTTATGTGGAAGCAGGACGGAATGGGCATTCACCGAACCATGCATCAAGTCCAAGCAAAGGTAAAATTATGCCTTGCTATACGCGGCGTTCTGTAAGTTATATCCTGAATGCTATTTTGAAGGAGTGAGAACCCTTTTTTTGGAAGCAAATGATTTTTCAATGGTCAAGTTTGTGTCTACTTCTTACAACTTTGCGTTGATTTGATCCTTCTCAACTAAAAACGAGGTTTTGCTTAATCAGAAAAAGAAGAGAAAGTGAGGTTTTGTCTAGCCTCAGTATTATACATTAGTATTAATAGAAATACAAAAATTTAAACTCATTTTCTGTTGGGATTATACACACCCAGAAATCAATCAACACACAATCACACACACAAATGAGATGCAAATATTTCCGTGGTTCGGCCCAATGCCTACGTCCATGGGAGAAAGAGAGAGTTTCACTATGAACAAAACAAATACAAAACAGAGGAGTTGTCTTTCACTCTCTCAACTCAACTCACATCTCAAATATATTTCTCATAACTCTCTCTTTTCTTCGCTCTCTTTGATATATCATCTTAGCTCACAGCTCTCCCTACTTAAACACAAACGGGAGAGCTAACAATTAACACTTGCCTACCAACAACCAACCACCAAAATAAATGGCAACCCATCAATACAGCCACCGTACAATAGGGTTACTAGGTTGAAAAACTCCATAAGATTTCAGACCCAAATCTGCAGCCTCCATTCTTGACTTCCAATGCCAACTTCACATGGTGTGGATACTCAACATTTTTAGAATCCAATTCTTTCTCTGAAAAGAAATGAACCAATAATGGTAATTGATATTGGGGTTTTCACATGTATAAACACATGCATCTCTGTGTATTATGTAGAGTTTTGTTTGGGATGTTTTATAAAATTTAGTTGAGGCGGGTTCTTTTTCTGATTTCTTGGGTTACATGTATTGGATAAGAGGGTTACTCCTTGGGTCCTTGTACTATAATAGGCATCATTCACATGATTGCAATGAATATCATTCCTCTAAAAATGGACTTCTCTCTCTCTCTCAAAAGTGAAAATAGAAATATACAATATTCTATGTAAATATAGTGGAGTTTTGAGTCTACTCCAAAAAGACTTTCATATGAAAAATAGGGTGATGCTATGGTACATTTAGGTGTACCATACATTTAGTTATGAACTTATATGATTTTATATCATAACCTATACCATATTAGTCATAACTATCACCATATTAACGCCTGTTTAAGTTTTTAATAAACCAAATACAAATTGAGTTTGAGTAGATTGGTTTCTTTTACAATCTTGTCTCATAATTAATGGGTATAACATAGGTCGGGTAGGGGGAATGATGTAGATCAAATTTAAGAAAAAAATAAATATTTTTATTTTATTATTTTGAAATTAATAGTTGATTAGGAATTTTATAATTTAGTATAAAATATTACAGAATTATTTAGTTATTTAATTTTCTCAATTATTTTCTCTCTTTAAATTATATTGACTATTAAGTGAGAAAGCATCATACATACACAAATGAATGAAGAAGTGTAGAATATGTTGAGTGTAGTACCATTATGTGGTGATACATGGCATCTGTAAAAAGGGTTTATTGACAAATTATGTTAGTTGGGCCCACATGCATAAAAGACCTCACAAATATGGAACAGTTTGCCAATACGTTGTGAATATCTTAGTGCTAATCAAAACAAAATCTCAACAGTTTGCCATATCTAAATCTGAAAAGCAATTGATAGATAAGAATATCTGAGGCCAGAAACATAGTTATACAATAAAATTCTAATGATAACAATCATCGCCAATGAAAATTATGATCTGAAAACACTTTAAGGTACTTCCAATTCACACCAACGAATCCCAGAAGGAGTTAAAACTGGAGAAGGTCCCCAAACATCGGAGTGTACCAAAGTAAATGGAACATTACTTTTATTCAAACTCAAAGGATAAGGCACACGGTGACTCTTGGCCAAAATGCAAGTGTCACATTTAAAATCAGACTCACTAATGGCAGAAAATAAATCGGGTAACAAATGCTTTAAGTAGCTAAAGGATGGATGCCCCAAGCGACGATGCCAAAGCCAAATCTGTTGACGTTTCACATTGGGCACTTGTTGTACATGATGAGCTTGGCCGGGACTGAAATCATCCATAACATATAGCCCCCCCCTCTTAGTACCACGACCAATGATCTCCTTGGTGAGAATATTCTGAAGAAAACAAAACTTGGGATATATTAGTGCACAACAATTGAATTCTTCAGTAGCTTGTCCCACAGATATTAATTTACTTGATAGGGATGGAACAAGTAAAGTGTTTGACAATGAGAGTGAGGAAGAGAGAGAGACAGTGCCGGCTCCTGTAACCGGATAAGTGACCCCATTGGCATTAGCAATATTTACCCGTTTTGGTTGAGTAATAGAAGTAAAGTCATTGGGATCAAACGTCATATGATCGGTGGCTCCCGAATCAAGTATCCAACCATTAAAGGCATCCGGAATGGAATTAAATAAAGCGTAACCACAGTTACCTGAAGCACTGAAAGGGGTAGAGCCATCTAGGAGATGAGAAGTACTTGTGGATGTTAGAAGAGACAACTCGGGCTCCGCATGTGCTAAAGCAGCCCGTCCCGAAACACTGTTGACAGCAGCTTCACTTTCACTTTGTTTCCGGGCTTTGAACTCGTCCCACCATTCTGGAAACCCATGTAATTTAAAACAGGTCTCACGGGTGTGTTTGGGCTTGCCACAATAAGTACATCCATGACCTTCAGTAGATGGCTGCCCAGAGCTACGGCTGGAAGAAGACAAACCAGATTTGGGCAGCGCTGCACTGGACCGAGTTCCAGCTGCAGGCCGAGTTCCAGCTGCAGATTTCCCAGTTGGGACCATCGATAGCTGCTGTTTCAGAGGCTGCGGATTGGAGCGGGTTCCTCCTCGAGATGCCATAGCAGCGCCAACCTGTCCATCTGTGCTGACCATCATCACGGACTGTCGTGAATCTTCACGGCGAACATAGGCATATGCCTGTTCGACTGAGGGGAACGGGTTCATGAGGAGTACGTCGCTACGAACCTTGTCAAGCCGATCGTCTAAGCCATCAAGAAAGGTATACACTCGATCCTCTTGTAGAATGGAAGTAAATTTCTGAATATCATTGGGACAGACCATCGGATTGGGGCGTCGGAAATCGATCTCCCTCCATAAGGCCTGAAGGCCATTGTAGTAGGTTTCAATTTGCCCACCGCCCTGTCGCATCTTGGTCACCCGTTTCTTGAGATCATAAACCTGCGATGTGTCTGTGCCATCAAAAAAAGTTGTGGCAATGGCATCCCACACTGCTTTTGCCGTTGGGAATCGAATGAAATTACCAATCATGCTTGGTTCCATGGAGTTAATTAACCACCCTTTCACAATCGAATTTTCAGTCCGCCATTTTCGCCATGTTGGGTCAGTTTGTTGGGGCTGCTGGAGATCTCCATTGATGTATCCAAGTTTATCCTTGCCAGAGATATACATCTCCAAAACTTGGGACCACAGAGCATAGTTGGTGCCATCCAACTTGATGCCGATCGATGCAGCGGAAATTTCATGGGTTGGTGCCTGGTTCTGAGTCAGGGTCTGGGACAGTAAATCTGTCATTCTGGATGTTAGGTCTTCTAGGGTTGGGTTGGTAATGGATGTTTGGTCTGTGGATGGAGTTGCCATAGTCGGCGTGAAGGTGTAAAGTGTGAAGCAGAAAGCCTAGGATCTCTGCTCTGATACCATGTAGAGACATGAAACAACTGTATAGCTCTTATTCATTTTTTCTATGAAATACAAGTCCATATATATAGACTATCATACAGAGTTTATTCTAGACAATCCCTTTTCTTTACAACTCATGCCACATGCACTCTTGCTTTACAATTCATGCCACATGCACTCTTGCTTTACAATTCATGCCACATGCACACTTGCTTTACAACTCATGCCAACAGAAAGCACCGTGTTTTAGTGGTGATGGTGAGTGGGTTGTTGGTGGTTCTGCTAATAAAGGAGAGCACAAGATCCACATATGGGATAGGACTGGGCGTCTTGTAAAAATCCTCGAAGCTCCAAAGGAAGCGTTGATAGATTTAGCATGGCATCCTGTTCACTCTTTTGTTGTCTCTGTGTCGCTAACAGGCTTGGTTTATATTTGGGCTAAAGATTATATTGAGAACTGGAGTGCATTTGCTACGGATTTCAAGGAGCTTGAGGGAAATGAGGAGTATGTAGAACGAGAAGACGAATTCGATCTGATGCTGGTAACTGAAAAGGTGGGAGAGGAAAGCCTTAGTTGGGTAACATTTCCTTTATTTTATGTTTTTGCTTCTATAATGTGTGCATACTTGCAAGTGAAAGAATCAGATGTTGATGAGGATGATGAAGTTGATATTATGACAGTGGAGAAGGATTCGGTTTTCAGTGATTCAGATATGTCACAGGAAGAAATATGCTTTCCAGCTGCCAATCTTTGTCATGATGTTCCTATGCAGCAAGACAAGTGCATAGAAAGTTCTTCAAAGCTGGTGAACAGCAACCATTCTGGATCCCCCCTTTATGTGGAAGCAGGACGGAATGGGCATTCACCGAACCATGCATCAAGTCCAAGCAAAGGTAAAATTATGCCTTGCTATACGCGACGTTCTGTAAGTTGTATCCTGAATGCTATTTTCAAGGAGTAAGAACCCTTTTTTTGGAAGCAGATGATTTTTCAATGGTCAAGTTTGTGTCTACTTCTTACAACTTTGCATTGATTTGATCCTTCTCAACTAAAAATGAGGTTTTGCTTAATCAGAAAAAGAAGAGAAAGTGAGGTTTTGTCTAGCCTCAGTATTATACATTAGTATTAATAGAAATACAAAAATTTAAACTCATTTTCTGTTGGGATTATACACACCCAGAAATCAATCAACACACAATCACACACACAAATGAGATGCAAATATTTCCGTGGTTCGGCCCAATGCCTACGTCCATGGGAGAAAGAGAGAGTTTCACTATGAACAAAACAAATACAAAACAGAGGAGTTGTCTTTCACTCTCTCAACTCAACTCACATCTCAAATATATTTCTCATAACTCTCTCTTTTCTTCGCTCTCTTTGATATATCATCTTAGCTCACAGCTCTCCCTACTTAAACACAAACGGGAGAGCTAACAATTAACACTTGCCTACCAACAACCAACCACCAAAATAAATGGCAACCCATCAATACAGCCACCGTACAATAGGGTTACTAGGTTGAAAAACTCCATAAGATTTCAGACCCAAATCTGCAGCCTCCATTCTTGACTTCCAATGCCAACTTCACATAGTGTGGATATTCATCATATTTAGAATCCAATTGTGGAATTCAAAAATCCAATTTTACATCTAAGAAGCTGCTGGAAAATGAAAAATAGAATTTAGAAGCAGACATTATTTAATCAATGAATATGCAGGATAGGTAACATCTACTGAGACGTTATCAGGTCCCATAAAAATCTGGTTTTGTCTCTTTACTCTCTCTTTCTCTGAAAAGAAATGAACCAATAATGGTAATTGATATTGGGGTTTTCACATGTATAAACACATGCATCTCTGTGTATTATGTAGAGTTTTGTTTGGGATGTTTTATAAAATTTAGTTGAGGCGGGTTCTTTTTCTGATTTCTTGGGTTACATGTATTGGATAAGAGGGTTACTCCTTGGGTCCTTGTACTATAATAGGCATCATTCACATGATTGCAATGAATATCATTCCTCTAAAAATGGACTTCTCTCTCTCTCTCAAAAGTGAAAATAGAAATATACAATATTCTATGTAAATATAGTGGAGTTTTGAGTCTACTCCAAAAAGACTTTCATATGAAAAATAGGGTGATGCTATGGTACATTTAGGTGTACCATACATTTAGTTATGAACTTATATGATTTTATATCATAACCTATACCATATTAGTCATAACTATCACCATATTAACTCATAACTTAGTTATATTCAATTATTTACTTATACCATATTACTTCATAGCCAGGTCATTAAAAGTGACCTGCTAAACAGGTCACTTTTTATAGTTATGAGTTAAAATCATATTTCTTCATAACTATAATCAAATTGATCATAACTTAGCTATAACTACATCTTATAACCAACACCATTTTGTTCATAACTAATATCACATATTTCATAACCACATCTCATAACCAACACCATTTTAGTCATAACTAACATCACATATTTCATAATCATAATCACATATCTCATAACCAACAGCACTTTGATCATAACAAATATCACATATCTCATAACTATTGACCACATATCTCATAACCACATCTCATAACCAATCCCTTTGAGTCATAACCAACATCACATATCTCATAACCACTAGTCACATATCTCATAACCAGCACCTTTTTGTCATAACTAATATCACATATCTCATAACCACTAATCACACATCTCATAACTACTACCCACATACATCATAACCACATCTCATAACCAATCCCTTTGAGTCATAACCAACATCACATATCTCACAACCACTAGTCACATAACCAATATCTCATAACTCATAACCATTAATACATATAGCATAACCACACCATTTGACACCACTTTGCTCATAACCATTACCCACATATCTCATAACCACTAACACATATAGCATAACCAAATACCCTTTGACACCACTTTGCTCATAACCATTACCCACATATCTCATAACCACTAACACATATAGCATAACCAAATACCCTTTGACACCACTTTGCTCATAACCATTACCCACATATCTCATAACCACTAACACATATAGCATAACCAAACACCCTTTGGCACCACTTTACTCATAACCATTACCCACATATCTCATAACCACTAACACATATACCATAACCAAACATCCTTTGGCACCACTTTACTCATAACCATTACCCACATATCTCATAACCACTAACACATATACCATAACCAAACATCCTTTGGCACCACTTTACTCATAACCATTACCCACATATCTCATAACCACTAACACATATACCATAACCAAACATCCTTTGGCACCACTTTACTCATAACCATTACCCACATATCTCATAACCACTAACACATATACCATAACCAAACATCCTTTGGCACCACTTTACTCATAACCATTACCCACATATCTCATAACCACTAACACATATACCATAACCAAACATCCTTTGGCACCACTTTACTCATAACCATTACCCACATATCTCATAACCACTAACACATATACCATAACCAAACATCCTTTGGCACCACTTTACTCATAACCATTACCCACATATCTCATAACCACTAACACATATACCATAACCAAACATCCTTTGGCACCACTTTACTCATAACCATTACCCACATATCTCATAACCACTAACACATATACCATAACCAAACATCCTTTGGCACCACTTTACTCATAACCATTACCCACATATCTCATAACCACTAACACATATACCATAACCAAACATCCTTTGGCACCACTTTACTCATAACCATTACCCACATATCTCATAACCACTAACACATATACCATAACCAAACATCCTTTGGCACCACTTTACTCATAACCATTACCCACATATCTCATAACCACTAACACATATACCATAACCAAACATCCTTTGGCACCACTTTACTCATAACCATTACCCACATATCTCATAACCACTAACACATATACCATAACCAAACATCCTTTGGCACCACTTTACTCATAACCATTACCCACATATCTCATAACCACTAACACATATACCATAACCAAACATCCTTTGGCACCACTTTACTCATAACCATTACCCACATATCTCATAACCACTAACACATATACCATAACCAAACATCCTTTGGCACCACTTTACTCATAACCATTACCCACATATCTCATAACCACTAACACATATACCATAACCAAACATCCTTTGGCACCACTTTACTCATAACCATTACCCACATATCTCATAACCACTAACACATATACCATAACCAAACATCCTTTGGCACCACTTTACTCATAACCATTACCCACATATCTCATAACCACTAACACATATAGCATAACCAAACACCCTTTGACACCACTTTGCTCATAACCATCTACTAGATTAAGTTTAACAAGAGCCTATGACAAGCTCTTATTATGTGTAATCCTCATATACTTGCGCAGAAAAGGCATACAAGGTGCAATTGAGGTGCAGACCTTAGACTGTGATTCTAAAGTATTTAGGGAGTATCATCTACACATCGAAGCCTCAATGCATTTTGCTCATGATTTTAAAAATGAAGTGCAATTGTTATGTAAAGTTGTTACGCAATTGTGTGGGCAGTCACTGCCACCTGTTACAGCTGCTATGGTGGTGTGATTGAATTTCACGAGTATAACAGCCATTAGTAACAATGGCGACAGGGTCAGCTACATTTAAAAGTCAATTTTTTGCTCATTTTCTTCTTTTTTAATTTCTATGTTTATTTATTGACTCAACATTAAAGATTAAGCAGAATTTTTATATGTTATGTTACTTCTATAACTTGATAATTTTAATTTGTTCAATAAAATAACAATGATACTCAAGTTTATTTGTTGAACGTACATAATCTACAAATTTGAAGCACAACATAACATAATATTATAAGTCTATAACTATTAATAATAAAATAAATAACAGTAAAGTGGTGCATTATAAATTTATGACGCATAAAATCATTAAATGTTAACCAAGTGAAGTCTCTCCTAAGGTGAGGTCTTGGATTCTACTCTTGGGAGTGGAATGGGAGACAAAACTTAAAGGGCTTGTAAGGATAGGGTGGGAGTTCAACTCCCCCACGTGTTAATCTAGCTATTAACCACTTATTTTTGGTTTCAATAAGTTTGTGTCTTCTTTATTGATTGGACATTTCATACGGTGGGTAAATTGGACTCTTTACGGGAACAAACAACTCTTCCACTTGAGCTTCCATGCTTGATGCAGTTTGGATGGAAGACTGAGCATCTTTTCCCCTCTTTTAATTGATTTTAATTAAATTCCTTCGGTATTAGGTCAAGCTGGCCACAACTGGAAGGCAGGAAAGAGGATTGTAGTCATCTCAGTAATCTTGACAGGAACACTTATACTTGCCTTGGGCATTTCATTGTAC